AAAACGATGATGACTTACAGGTAGAAGAAGAAGAAGCACGTTAGAACGACGACGAATCGGCTCAGCGATGAGTAGAAGTAGAGGATGCTGAACAGGATGCTCACTCTGCAGAACGTGTAGATCCAGTCTAGCCAATCATTGGCATGCTCTTCCTCATCATCATCCAATACCGCATTGCCCTGCAAACATTCATTTACGTTGTGATTATGAAGGCAAATATCAACACACACGTATTATTGCACTTAGCTATTTACAGAGAGAGAAGCCAGTGGGTGGAGGGTGGGGAAAGGGGCGGGTGGAGGGGGCTCTAATAGCAAAAGCAGTTCAGTCCTTTGTTAACAGTCAACAAATCCATGTTTAACCCTGCTCTTGAGGGTCAAAAGGTTATCAGACACTTACTCTTCGCACGTATGCAGAAAGTAGATTTCACGTTCCTTTCAACAAGGTGATAAAAATGGTAGGTGAGCGCTGAAACAAAAAAGTTTTGCACTCGGTTCGTTAGACCATGCCCTCAGAAAATGTCTGATATCTGACCTTTCCCCCACTGCCCTTTGACCTGTGACCTCCAATTTCGCGCTGGTGATGGGTTTCCATCACACTATACATCGAATATTAAGAGCGTAGGTCGAGCCATTGAGATTTGTGCCGTATTTCCTCCTATACCTTAAGTTATAGGGGAAATATTCCCCCTCCATTGACACATCTTGACCTTTGACCCTTGACCCCCAAATTCGACATCCCGAGTCCTTTTCGCGATCCCCTCACCCCCGACGTCCCGAATATCACGATCGTACGTCGCGCTGTTAAGATTTGTGCCGTAACTGTTGACGCACGGACGGACGGACAGACGGACGGCCGGACGGACATTCATGCGATTCTACAAGCTGCATCTGACTTCGTCAGCTGAGCTAAAAACCGATGCAAATTTAATCGATTTCATGATTTTCTACATGTCTAACCATAACCCTACCCCTACAAGCTTGGTGGAATAAGATTTGTAAAGGTAAAGGCATAAAAGTACCTGCCAACGTGTCAAAATATCTCTAGAGAGCAATTATCATATATCAGTAGAAATACATCATGCCCGATTTAATAAAGTCATGAAACCAGCTGAATTGATATCCGGCTTCCTAGGTCCGTCATATCACGTCCTCAACAAGCCATTTAAATTACCTATTGGATCAGGATAAGTGATGAGGATTGAATAAAAACACGTTTACTTTTCGTTTGTTTCATTCACTCCTGCACTGAGGCATATTACCAGCTATATTCCTTATGCACTAGGGAACATACCATTTCACCTCTAACCTCAATTCTCACTTTCATTCACTTAAGATGTCCTTTCCACCATAATCACTCATTCCAAATATGAACACTAATGGTAAAGCTTTTTACATTTGTTTCGCTATTGATGATAGTAATAGTGCAGAAAACAGTATGTGTGTAGCAAAATTGGTTTGGGGCAACAATACAAACATCAGGAGTAATTTAAGCTACAAACATTTTACCAGGTAGTTATAACATACAATGCTCTATTACCATTAATAATTGGCTTGCATTCGTAATATGTTTTACTTTTACCTATTCACTTACTTTGATATAAAAACATACTAAGGGTCTTTAGATAGCCCCCTTGGACTTTTGATTGCATATTTTCATTGAGTCAGCACAGCTCCCATTTACCTGTGCATCCATTCTCACATTCTGATTTCCTGCAGCATTATTAAGGCCCTGCTGAGCTTGTGGGCCTGGCACATTATTACCAGGGGCAACATTCGGTTGAACCGTTGCAGCATAGCTCATCATATTCGCCACAGGAAACCCCATTTGTGCACTGAAAATTAAAAAGTCTCTGTCACATATACAATACGCAAGAAAAGCAATCAGCAATTCAAAATTTAAAAAAGCAATTATTTTAGATTGGGCTAGACAATTTCCCATTATTTGGATGCATTATCAACCAAATATTACCATACAATATTTGTTATATTTTCGCATGTTATAAGCTATTTATTTCATCGTAAAACATTAAGGATACACTCAAGCTTTTGCACGGGTATTGCTCTAATGAAGAGTAAACATTTATTGACCAATGAATTGAATTAATCACATGTTTTATATATAGATAAGATGTATCTCTATGCTCAGGCTGAAAAATTTAATGAAATTTCTAGCACCTAATTATGTGACACCACATATTTTTGATTTTTGTGTAAAAATGGAATTTTGGATACTTCTCAATTACCACAAATATATCACATTTGCACCATGTGTGTTTAAATGGCCATGGTACACTACACTACGTGGGCAATCAAAAAGCTCCGAAAGTTCACATGCATCAGTATATGGAAAAATAAGCATATACAGAGGTGGCACTAACTGTTAGCCATCAAATAAGAATGAAAATAGAAAATCAATGAAATTTCCCATGAACATCGAGTATATCCTTAATATATGTATTATAAACAACCTCCAGCAGCACAGCAACTGCAATTATACTCTGCTGGCCACTGCTGGCACAAGACACAGTTATTCAACATTACATGGGAATGTAGCAGGTGTTATTAGACTGCCATGTGCATACAGCCATTTTGGAGAACTGGTACTGGTTACGTGATGATCATGACGTTCAAAAATTGAAGATGTTATAGAAATATAAACAGTATGGTTTTGTCTGTTTGGTAAATACCAAGTATACTTAAGTGCACCAAACCTTGACAACCTCTAAAAGCTTGATGATACAGTGTATAGACATTAGGGCTGTAACGATCCACCGAAATCGAATCGGATCACGATTCGCTTCCCTCGATCCGATCCTCGATATTTTTCCCCGTATTTTCGGTTCCACTTCGATACCACTTTTTCCCTCCAATAGATGGCGGCACTACGCTATATACTGTGGAGTGTTACTCATCAATGTTACTCAGCGGCTGTGCAGTGTATATATATATACTCTCCAGACTCTCTAGTCTATTCACCATTTAGTATTCATTGACAATTTCTAATAATTTATTTTTGCAAAATAATGAAAATATAAAAAATATGATAACAATTCAATATTTTGGGTATAGAATCAAAGGAATCGAATCGCGAGGCTAATATCGAGAACCGGATCGAATCGAGAGGCTTGTGTATCGTTACAGCCCTAATAGACATGTTCATGATAGTACCAAGAGCATATAAAAAAGGAGAGCGTACAATGGTAAAATGCTGAAACCATGTTGCAGTATTAGTCGAATTAATAAACTTTCCCCGTGTTATTTTGACGATTCTTTGCAGTATTATTGATCAGCTGTCCTACCTTGTTCATATAAAACAAACCGCATGTCCCTACGATGCACATACGCTGAGATAATGAGCGGTGAAAATCTGGTATTTTCGCTGAACACCGACTAGACATTAGTCAATACTGCGACCCTCTCTCGAAGTGTGGCCAGTGTGTTGCTTCCGGTCGTCGCTGTGTAGCGCCATAGTGGCGCTGACTCACGTCATACTACCAGAGTTTACTATACATCCAGCATGAGGTGGGCGTGGGGTGGGCACAGGTGGGGGCCATCACTATGGCAATCAATAACAGACGTCATTCATTCCATTTGTCAATCATTGACGGAAACACGCGAGGTTTACCGAAGTTATAACACTTCGAGAGACAGTCACAGTAACTGACTGATCTCGAGTCAGTTTTCGGCGAAAATACCAGATTTTCACCGCTCATTATCTCAGCGTATGGGCATCGTAGGGGCATGCGGTTTGTTTTATATGAACAAGGTAGGACAGCTGATCAATAATATTGCAAAGAATCGTCAAAATAACATGGGAAAAGTTTATTAATTCGACTAATACTGCAACATGGTTTCAGCATTTTACCGTTGTACGCTCTCCTTCTTTATATGCTCTTGATAGTACACATCTGATATTTCCCACTGACTAACTCTTCTGAAACGTATTGACAGGTGACTGGGAAAATGTACACGAAACCATGTGCACCGGTTGATTCAACAATTCAGCTAATACTTACTAATACATGTACTGCTGCATGTACTGAGCATACACCCAGTACTGCTGCTCTGGCGTTAATCCCTGGTATGGGTTGTGTTGGTATTGTGCTGCCATCTGCTGGAGCTGAGTATAGTTTGACCATTGCTGATTCTGAGACGTTGGAGGGCTTGGTGTCGGTGCGGTGTTCAGCCGATGTCGCAGCCCTTCTGGAAGCTGGGGCAACTGCTGACTAGTGCTAGGTGCTGATGTGCTCGTTGCCACGCCTGCCGATGCTGCTGGCTTCACCTATTACATACAGGTGATTCTATTAGAAGTGGATGGTTTTCTACAACATCAACAATTGAGACGCATTGCAATCAACAGACCATGCATCAGATTGACATGTTTCTGACATGACTAGCTAGCTAGACAGGGGAAATAACACGAGGAAGTGTTTTTGCACAGCCACTGCTATACTTATAAAGAGACTAATTATATACTCATTAAATAAGTTCATTCGGTTGGTAGATAATAGATCTATCTTGGTTAATTTTTACTCAACTGTGTTGATTCAAAACGTACTGCTGACGTTTCGCTGTAAGTAATTATATAATTTATAACGCGGATTACTCGCTATCATTGTGGGCACAGGTACATATATATAAATTATTATCATTACAACTATATTATTAACACTGCTATAGATCACACCACAAAATGTACATGGCTCAATATGGCATAACCTATATTGCACTTACATTTGGTTTAGGTGCTACTGGACCATCTCTGAGCTGATCTTTCATTTGAGCACATACAAGGTGCAAGGTATGAGTCCTTGTATCCTCATCATACTACAATATAGGGTGATCTCATAAGCATTACATACATTAAATGATGCATACTCATTTACTACCAAATACCTTATCATTTGATGAAGTTCATTCTGTTGTCAAGGCATTTTATCATGACGAATAAGCTACCAAATTTGTACTTATCTATAACTAACCTGTCGAAGAAAGTCTTTCAATGTCAGGTGGTCCGGCAGTAGTTGTCCTGAGTATATTAACTTTTGTCTCTCTACCGCCTACAGGAACACACACATGAATTTCATTAGCTGTAATGTCTAAGTGTAAAACAGTTGTTAATTTTGATACAGTAATACCCCGCATTACCTAATTAATGTATTCCAGAAAAAATGTTCATAACTCGAAAACCCATAACGTGACAATTGCAAATGCATTTCTACAGAAATTCTTTTAAGATTTCCTAAAAGATTTACTAGGACAACTAGTCATCTACGTCACTAGCATTGTCATGCCACTAGATGTCAGACTACGAACTCTGGTGCTCATCATTTACCTTGCATGCTACAGGAGCACTATTATCATAACCTGAGCTATTTATCAACTATGTCTTTATGACTTGGTACTGATATCACTAACATGAAAATTATTAGTTTATTAGGTTGGTTGGTTCATAAAATTTTTCATATGAAACAACATTATAGTAAGTGAGTACAAATTATATAGTTTAGTTTGAGCAATTATAAACTGTGGCATCTCCGACAGATGCTATGGATTGAACAATCTGTGTCCATGTTTAAACGGACTTGTACTATAGTGTAACTAGCAAGCACATTTTCTGAAGCAATATCTCACTAAATTATAGAATAGCCACATAGGTTCCTCTCAAATATCACTGTACATCCTTCAGCATGTGTATGCTCACATCTGATATCGATATAGCCGGATCTTTCGTCTATCTTACCCTATGTTGCAGAAGTTGAAGATATAAGACACATGTCTGAATCTGGGGACGTTTTAGGATTGACAGTCTTTGTATTATGATTAGTAAAATTTCTAGTGAAGTTTCCTTGTGTAAAAATCTCAGCAGAGCTATATCTATACTACATGGTAGAGGATCACATAGATCGACACCAGCATCCACCCAAGCAGGATCCTGATTACACTCTACCTGGTTAATGATGAAAACTAAAGACACTGATACATAGCAACCAGGCTGTGTAACTCTCTACCATTCTGCCTCTTTCATGCTCAATCCATTCGAACATTCCAAGCTTTAATTGGTGCTAACGTAAGCACCGTCCCACAAGCTGGTATGGAATGTTTAATTATAAGCTCTTTTATCTAGATGCACGACCTTCCTTCGGATATATGTATTTTTCACAACACGTGAGTATTCAGTAGCTTAATAATAATCCAACATATTATTGAAAGAAGAAGAAAACATTATTAAGATAAATCACTCACGGGTTCACCAGGATAGTCTTTTGCTAGATGAGCCTTCAGCTGTTGCACTGTCCATCCCATGTCACACTCTACTATGTGGTCCTGCACTTTCATATTTGGTGCCTTAATGACCAACGAAATCCCATCACTGTCCATCTTCTTTGAAAGTGGTAGACTGTACACTAAAGGTTTAAAAACACAAAACAAATTGTCCAGTTTTTGTAACATCTTGTTACTGAGCATATTACATTACATTTTCAGATAATTTTCTTCCGAAGTGTAGCACACTGTCCTGCTAGGGGGGTCTGGGGGCATGCCACCCCAGAAAATTTTTGAAATTTGGAAGGGCAGATAGGCCATTTCCATGCATTCTGGGGGAAATTGTAAGTCCATTCTGTTCTTAGTAAAAGACCAATTTCGTGACTAACAATTCTAAGTCTTGTCATTTTCTATGAAAATTTCATGTTTTATGTGGCGGTTAACTTAAAGCATGCCTTAATTTACATTACATAGATACACCGTGATATTTATCTGGAGTTCCGTTACCGTACTTCTGTGTGAAATTTTACTTTTTATGAAGTTTAAATTAACAAGTGCCGCGGAGCGACAGCGCTCATCTAACGTCTACTGCGGTGACTCTGTGGTGGAGTGGTGGGATTCTAGTAAACCCTGTTAGTCCCAAATGTGTTCCCATACACGCCGAAACAGTGGAATGCACAGGGATGGTATCAGGAACCTTCTCAAA